TATATATTATATATGTTATATATATTATATATTTATATTGTTAATATACATGTATATATATATAATATTTATTATATTAAATATATTACGTAGAGTAATATTATATTATTATATATGATTTATATTTATTATATTACAAGCAAATTTTGTTGAATCACTGAAAAATTAAAATGCCATAATTTTATATTTGTTGTGAGATTACTACAAGGGTTAGAAACACTATGTGTAACTACATGCAACATCTATTATATGTTAATCATGAAATTGGTATGTAATTTTGTCGATGATTCATTCTTCGTTCCATACCTTTCTACTATGGATTATGGAAAATCCCAAGAGTGTGCCATAAAGGCCATGGTTAATCCCTCATTTGTGAATTTAGTATTGTGATATTATTATTCCTTAGGATGGAGATTACCTCTATAGATAATGTGACAAATCATACCCCATGTAGGGCTGCCAATGGACAGGCTGGGCCTTGGGGCCTCTGGGCTGAGCCTCGAGGCCTCCGGGCTAGGCCTATTTTCAGGCTCATTTGAAACTTGAGAACTAAAATGTATTTTTGACTTTAATATTATCATTATTATTATTTTACTTTTATAATGAGAAAAGTTTGCATGAAAATGGGTGTTTGAATGTTTTATGGGGAGGGAAATGTTTTAGAGAGAGGGAGTGAGTGAGGAAATGATAAAGAAGGAAATACATTTATGGGTTTTAGGGAGGTTAGAGAAATTAAATAAATTCCAATGTGAAAAAGAACAGATGGAGCCAAGGGAAGTTTTTGTATGGAAAGGGGTCTCCTAATGTTTAATTTAGAGGCCTAATGTGAAAAAGAAATGGAGGAGCCAATGTGAAAAACTCTTTGATTGATCATCTCGACATCAAGATATATGACCATGAAAAATAAAAAGATTTTAAGTCTCCAAAATAGTGTATTTTACAACATATTATCTACACCGTCTATTTTCAAGATTTTCACATGTTTATAGATCTACTCGAATTTAACTATTTTTTAAATTTACAATTTTATAATTAGATATAAATATAGATTTTGAGATAATCTTAACAATAGTTTACATCACAATTATATACAATGATAAAATTTGAAGGCGCACCTTACGTCTACGGCTACTATGCATCCGTATGCCAACTGTACCCTAATTGTAATGCTAAATTTGGAAGGGTTATGATCAATTTTCCCATGGCTTAAGTTCTACGGCCAAGTAGGGTCGAGGGTTTACATAAGACCATGAAAGGCGGCGACGGGCCACCACCAGGTCATTCTGAGCCCGGACCTGAGGCTATACGCGTTATTTATGAGTAATGGAGGGGCATCATGATTACCTTTATCTGCCGCCTTCAAGCTTAACAGGGAGCACTCTACATGTTCGAGCTCGAGGGTTCCATTGCCTGTGCACTGGTTCGATTCTACCCAAATCAAAACGCTAAGAGATTTATAGTAGAAAAATCCTGGATATTTAGTATAAAAAATCCTAGAAATTGGTATATTGGTTAAGGAATGGCTCAGGCTCGTCTGGTTAAGTTTCAGAAGACATTGAGCCATCTCAGCCATTACAGGGAAGGGCAAAGAAAGCCTTTGGGCTGTGGTTTTTGTAGTGTTTCAGAGGCTGTAAGGCGTATATCAGTGGATGAGCCTTCGTCATGGCGTCTCTTGCCAGGTTGATGCCCATTCTCTGCTTCATTTTTTCTTTTGTTATAATTTCATTTCCATAGTCATTCTTCATGGAATGAATCACTCATATGTAATTCCATTGTTTACTAGAAATCCTACTTGTCGATATTTTGGGTGTTTTCGTATTGCATTTTTTCATTTACCTTGACATTTTCCGCGGGCTTCTCGTTATCATATTTATTTATTGGTTGCATGGAAGTTTTATTTCTCTGTTGTGATGTTGATATTCATTTTTATTTCGTAGCTGTGAACTTTATTGTTTCTCTCTTATTTGATCATTTTTTAATTGTTGGATGAGTTGAATGACAGAGCTCTTATTTGATTAGTTTTCTTCTTTTATTGTGTTTTATCTATGTTACCCTATCCTAGAGTGTCCCTATCCTAGAGTGTATTACTTGCTACTTAGCAACTGCAGTTATCCTATGAAAGTGTAGATCCTTGCGGATTTTGCCCCCCCACACACCTACCCCATTTCATTGTATATAGAAATGAATTTTTTGTTTAATAACTAAGTTTTGGATATACTCTATTGTTTAGAAGGCAGAAATCAGTTACGTACAGATCAAAGATAAACATTTACAACTTTAGACTGTAAATTAAATAGTTAAAACTAAAAAGCAACATTAAAAAAACTTAAAAAAGGGGTAAAAAACAATATTCATTCGATTTGGGGTCAATGGATTTTTTTATTGGAATGCTTTCCCAAAGACCCAAACTACATATCAAAATGGGAAAATAATAATGCAAATAGTCAATAACATATTAAATATATATCATAAAGTATTACAAAAAAAAAAAATACAAATAGCAAAGAATAACATCATAAGGTATTGTGAAAAAAACAAATACATAAGCTAATAAAAGCTATTAAAATATATGAACGTTCTTGAAGAGGAATTGATATCGGTTCAAACCCTCTTTACGACCACTAAAAGCCTCAAAGAGATTGGGGATGAATATCCTTTAATTTTGTGACCATCCGAGGAGGCCGAAATTTTTTTGATCTTTCTACAAATCTTCAAAATCTTATTTTTTTCAAGCTTTTTCTCACTCTAAAAACTTCACTAACAATGTTTTTGGGAGCAATAATGGCTTCCAAAACCCTTTCCCCCCTTTATAGGGGGTAAAATGGCGATTTTATCCATTGCCGGATTTTTTTTTCTACCATTGGGCAGGGTGGCGCCTTGAAGGACCCACCTTAAGCAGGCTGCCTAGTCCTCGACTAGGAATTTTTGAAAAAAACCTGCCTAGGCGGCAAGGCAGCTGTTTTTTCGTTCATTGCTGTCTACATCATTTCATGATTTTATCTTTTTTAACATGAAATCTCTACCACAAGAGCAGAGTAAAATTGATTCTTATTTGCTGAGAGTAATAAGCAAACGAATTGAAGTCTGGATGTTGATGTTAACTCTTAACCCTAAATTCCTCACCTGAAAAGTATCATTTATGGGCTCTTTTTTTTGCGTAATTTCCTTTACGGGCTCTTGAATATTGGAGAAGCTCATTACATCAAAAGTAATATCCCCTGAAAGTTTAGTATCTTCTTTGTTTGTTCTCTTTTTCTTGAAAGTGTACTATTTTTTATTTTGAAGTTAGCATACTTTTACCATTTTTTCGAGTACCTTACAAAAGTGCATTAGCTGTGGTCCAACTTATTTCAGGCATTGTCAGTTATGTGGACAAAACAGACTACCAAAGACCTAAAACAATTTAAAGAGCACAGTAAAACAATATTTTGGGTACTTTGTTCCTTTTTATAGGTTGTGAACCACATTTAGAAGGTGGCAATTCCTCTAGTGAGTATATTGTATAAGCCATTGGAGTGAACAATGCCTATTTAAATATCTTCCATCGGGGGGGGGGGGGGGGGAGAAGTGTGAATATGTAGGGTTAATTGGTTGTTGGGTTTTTATATAATAGTTTTCAGGAAATTTTTACTTTCAGGGTTGAGTATTTTCCAGAAAAGAAAAAGCATCACTGTTTAGAAGTTCTCTCTTTCCGCTCTGGGCTTTCATGAAATTGTTGCTGTTGTTAATCCTATTGAATCTTTTCCTTTTTTTAATATATATTTTTCCTATGTTTGATCCTTATTGTCACAATTTCAGATATGCTCAATTATGTGGTATTTGAGACTCACAAGCATGCCGGGTTGCAACCTTGGATTGTGGGATACAGCACTTAAATTTTCCATCTTATTGAGTGAAATAGTCTCTGCTGTTAGTGGCTTATGTGGACTGAGAACTCTAGGTTTGAGTACAATATGTGCACAGTCTATGCCACCAGCACTTGACATCATTTGTACAGATCTAGTACATCAGGTTCAAGTGCTGTATGAAAAAGGCAAACTGTCTATTTTTATTTTTTATGTACAAGATGGGATGGATGAATGGTTAAAAGCAGTGATTAAAGACATGGAATCAGGCTCTAACTCGCTAGGGTCTTGAACCATTGTCAGCTGGTTGGACTCGGTACTTGGCCAGGTCTTTGTGAAATTGACATGGTAGGGTCTGACAGGTGACACTTGGGCAAGTCTTAAGGTTTTGGAACGAGAACCAGGACCCTGCTTAGTCCAAGCGACTTAGGGGAGTCCAAGATTTGGTGATCATGTTCTGAAACACAAATGTGTGATTTCTAGGTTTGTGAGAAAGGAGGGCTTTGCATACTTTATATGTGTGCATGCACGTGATTCTGGATTTGCGTCTCTGACTTTGCACATTTTTCTGCATGCACGTTGTATGCGTTCAAACTTGGGAGCACCTGAATGTAGACATCTTTTTTTCTTGCACTTATTTGTTGGCATACATGACTGATATTTCTGTGTGCGCTGCACGTGTATGTGCACATGTTTTTTTTCTTGATATATTTTTTTGCAGGTGCAACCACATATGGGCATAAAGTTTTGGTATAGACCTTTCTATGAAGTTTTGGTGTGGAGTTTTTCTTTTTTCCATATGAATGCATACACTGCAAGGTTGTACTCGAATGCATGTGTGTTTGCTTTTCTACCTCTCTAGCTCTCTCTTGTTATTTTTTTCTATTGGTCAATCTCTCTGGCTCTCTTGTATAGTTTAGTAGAAAAATTCAATTTAGCCTGCTTTACCTCTTATTTGGTCTGTTGAGTAGATTGCATGTTGTCATCTCTATAAATTATGGTATTTAAATGCTTACATCACAATTTAATTAAAAAAGAAAAAGTTTATGCCACATTTACTTTGAAAGCAAAGAGTTTCATAGCACCATTGATGGTGACAACTACCATTATGCTCATTTTTTGTGTTTTGTTGTGTGAACAGTACTATGAACAGTGCCATGAGCAGTGCTCTGAACAGTGCTGCGAGCGGTAAAAACTAGAAAGAGAAAGGGAAAAGAAGAAAAGAAAGAGAGGAGAGAAAAGATGAAGGAAAAGAGAGAGAGAGAGAGAGAGAGAGAGAGAGAGAGAGAGAGAGAGAGAGAGAGAGAGAGTAGTGAGTAGTACGTACGACGACACGACGACTACGACTACCTACTTACTTACTTTAACTTTAACTTTAACTTAACGTTAACGTTAACGTTAACGTTAAACGTTAAA